AATCGAAAGTTTCTATCTGTTCCACTGGCTTGTGTCAATTTAAAAATGTATTGCCTTGTAATATGAGCAAAAAATCTTCTCTAACAGAAAATAACTCTATCCTGAGGGAAACTTGGTAAATGACGAATAAGCAGCAAGGAAGTATTAGAATTACCAATAGTAATCAATTTTGTTTATCATTTTTTGAATCAACCAGATAGGCTGTTGCCCGTTTGTTGAATTAGTCAGATAGGTCATTGCTTTTTTTTTCCTGATTTTTCAATTATTTCCTATTGAAAGAAGGCAGTTTGAGAAGGCTGTTGTTATTTAAGGCTACTATTGTCAGAAGTTCAACATTCTACTTATGAATTTAAACAAGGTTTGTGCACTTTGAGACCATCAAACCAATGTATGAGCTGAGAACCAGAGCATAAAAATTTCCTATTTTGCATAGTTTTAAAAAGCACCATAAAAATGCTTCGTGCTTGGATTCCAAGATCATTTCATTCCAGAAAAGGAAAACAAGAGTTTTGTCTTGAAAACTCAGCAATTATGGGAAGATTGCAACAGTAATTTGGGCCTTTAAAATTTTATTAGAGACTGTTATAATTTAGTATCTGCATAATGAGGGTTTCCACACCCTGTTTTTTAAGAACTATATCTGATTTAATGCTTCTAAAAATTCTTCTGACATCTGAATACCTCTGTTTTACCTCATAGTCATAAAACTTTGTACAATAGGAAACCAACAGCAAATACAACTGTGATTGAGTTCCGTACTTACAAAACACGTAAAGCTAAGAAATGGAGGAGTTATGCACTGCACCTCATTTCTCAAAGGAAACAGACACACTAAGTCATGTGTCTTTAAAATCAAGGCCAAAAAATTTAAATTTGCATTTGTTTTTAAAAAATCCTAAAACCTCTTGGATTCCAACGTAATCAAGCCGACATAGCAGCATTCTCGACCACAAGAGGGCATCCATGCTTTCAACCTGGTCTTCGGAGAGACTATATTAACAGATATATTGACATATCGATCCATCTATCTATAGACATAGACGTGGATATAGATACAGATATATTTCGTTCTGTTAGGTCACAGCTGAGGTACACAGCAGTTCTGCCCTGGGAAGTTTCCTCTTTCAGAGCCTCATGGTATTTTCCAATGTTGATAGCGGATGGCACATGAAGTCTAATTTTGCTGTTCATAAAGCTCTCATGGAATCCAACTTTTTAATTCCTGCAAAAGTTATATTAAACCTTCTATGATTTTCACTGAGACCTGATCCAACTCATCTAAAATTCAGAGGGAAACAAACTGATCTCAGAGAACAGATCCCAAGGATAAGTGTCCAAGGTCAAGCCCAGATTTTCTGAAGTCATTTATTTTCTACAGAGAGGATCTGGAATCACTAAAACTTGTTCAGCATCAATATGAAGTCATGACTGTCAGAGGTCTTACTCTGTCAATAATTTGTTCCATGGGCACTTTCCTGTTGTGATGAGGGGAGAGTGTTGTTTGTTTTGGTTTTGAACTCGAATACATTTTCCTATCTGATGCACATAAAACTCTTATTAGAGCCTGAAACAACCACAAAAAGGAACTTCGAAAGGAGATCTGGCCTAGTGGTAAATTATATGCTTAGCTGAAAAAGATCTCACAAACACTGGAGTGCATATGGTAATATTGGAAGAGAACCCCATCTTCCACTAAAAAAAAAAATCTGTATCTTCAGCACCAGAACATAAAGGTTAGCACCAAAAGGTATCAATTGCTACCCATCATCTTAGATGTTTAAATGAGGCAGAAAGTCACAAGCAGACATTATAAACAGCTGCACTCAGTAATTAACTGTATCAATTTCTCCATTTTTTTACTCTTATGCCTCTCATAGTATTTTGACCAAAAATATTTTTTGCCTTTAGTTTATATATACTTTTATAATTTTACATTCAGAACAGAAGTCTGAGCTAGATTTCTCCGTCTTTAAAGGCACACCCCTCTGCTGAGAAGAAATTAGTATTTCAGGGCCATCAGAATAGCTACTGGGGTAGTTTGCCTAGCATGGCCTTGAACTCATCAAGCATTTTTCTCAGCGTGTATTAGAGCTGCCAAAGACAACTGAAGTCTTCTGCACATTTTAGTACTTTTTTTGTAGCAGCACATGGTGTCAGGTAGTCAATCAGGCAGCACTGGCACTGATAATCTAAGTAGAGCTTTACTGGCATTGTCATTACCTGGCCCAAGAGAAAAAAAGATAATATAAATTGGGGCAATTCAAATAGGCAATACAGAAAGGCCACCTTCTTTAAAGTGGAAGGTGAAATTTCATGTGTTAATCAAATATCTGATGAGTTGTAATCCTCTCTGTTCAATGAAAAATATTAAGTTAATGCTTGAGTGCTTGTGACTGGTTTTATCAGGAGCTGCTCGCATGAAATAGCTTATATCCAGATCATTTTTTGCTGCTGTCAATTACAGTGTGATTTATGATAGTTAATCCCTAGCACCATTATGGGATGTTGTGACAAACCTGCATACCTGTTTGTTAAAAGCAAAGTTTTCTATATCCACAGAAAACAAAATATTACACAAAATCAAGGTATTTGTAGCAACTTAAAAAGTAACAGAAACGATAACATATATACCCGTGATAATAATTTCAGTTGAATTACAGAATTATAAATTAATTTACAATGTCTAGTCCTGTTTGGAAAGTGTACCATACAACATACAAGTTGCAAGTTTCAAAGTGCATAGTCATTTATTGTTAGACCTACTGTTGTAGGCTCCACGGCTTAACCTGAACTTTTTCTTATGCTCTGCTTCCTATTTTGTATCTTTTTAAAAAAATTAATAAAAATACTGAAAATGGCTAGATGCACTGCTTTAACTGTGCTGACTTTACCTCTATAGAAGATTCCTGATGCAGAACAAAAATGCATTTGTCACATGCATTTTGTCAAAAATTGTGCTGGCTGAGGGCTAGTGACCCACCAAGTAGTTCTGTTTCACTGAATTATTTCAGTGTGTACATAGATGATACAAAGAGATTGTCTTTCACTCCCAAAACAGGACTGGATTTTACTCAGCCAAAGTACTTGACTGATTGAGCACTGTCCAAGTCCAAACCCCTTTGAAAACATAAGGAAAAATGTTTATACTGTAACTGTTAGGATAAATGTTAGTAGAATATTAGAAGTGTTATTCTTTTACAACATGGACACATTGAAATGCAATATACCTGTCTAGTTATTGTCCTGTCAGATACAGAAGTGTCTCTAACCAGAAATGTCTGAAGAGCTATAGCTCAGCTGCTGACGTTCTCTGAGGGATCAGATTATAGAAAGATAGAGAGGGGCTGCTACGTTTCATACACTATACAGCCTGTTCCCCCCATCCCAGATATCTTGCTCGAGAAAAAGAATAACTAATGTGAAGAATTCAAACTCTGATCTTTCTTTTGTATCATCAATATGTTACTTCCTACTCTGGTGACAGACTGTTTTGAATACCCTTAAAAGACTGAATTAGTGACTTAAAGATGCATACATATGTAGCACTACTGAAATTACCCTCTGTTGTTCCACTTGCTCCACTCAGTGTTGCTTTTCAAAGTTCATAAATTTCAGAGGTCTAAATGTAGCAATGCAAGCAGTAAACACACTACATGCTACTAAACATGTATATTTAAAGTGGAGTACATTCTGCCCTGTAATACAAACCCAAACCTCAAGGCTATTTCAATGACAGAGTAGTTTTGGCTGGTATTCGGTTTCTTCCTTTCCATAATCTGTTTTTCTAGTCAAGTACCTGTATGATATTCTAGCTTGATGTGTAGACCCTCTTTATAAATATTTTAGCAAGCACCCATAAGGTGTTCAGGTTTTAGGAGGAAAGTTTTTGGCAGATTCGGTTTTTAATAATTCACACAGATATTTTCAGGAAACAGCAAAATATATTTTAAAGGACACTGCCAATTGCTTTAGAAATTTGGAATTTATGTAAGAAATTTATACGAACTTTTAAAATTTCCTGATGACTTTTATTTACAGATCTTCTTATCTACTTTTAGCTCTGATCTTTCCTGGTTCTTGACTATGTTTCAGTCAGGGGGGATAACACATATACTGGCAAACTGATAGTGTAAAAACCAGTATGGATGTCATGTATTGATGGATGTTGCTTTGTAGCAATATATTTCCTTGCTTTTCTGTACAAGAATAAATATACTCCTGCAAAGCACCATTATAAGCATTATGACTGTGTTCAGAAATACAAGAATGTAGATTCAAGCTGAGCTCTTATGCCAGTATATTTAAAACTATGTAGCTTTCTATCTAGATAAGACTTTAGGCTTGTGAGTTAACAGCCACTGCATCTTGGCCAATGTGGTTCCCCATTCTCCCTAATATTCCTGTCTGCACACAGACATTGTTGATGATATCAGCAGCCATGTGCTAAACTCTTGAAATACCATAAACCAATTGACGCTGTGCATGAGGTAGGTAATAACCTGCAGTTTCTCTTGCACATATGTGTTTGTCTGCTCAGTGTCCCATTGACATTGCAGGTGGAAGCACAGGTGTAAATGGGAGGAATTACTGGGAGTGTGAGGATCATTTGTTGCTTTGCATGTCACACTCCATTTTTAAAGCACAGTATTAAACAATGACCCTTCTCTTTCTGGAGCTATTATTTTTAAAAATGAAGTAATATTCTATATTTTGATGCGTTTTTAATATAAACTAACCTTCAGGAAGCTACACTCGCTAAGGTGAAAATTTTCTCTCCTGTAACAAAAGGCTAATCTAAAAGGGATAATGTGAGTCTTAAATCCTAAAGTGTTAAAACCAAATTATACTATACTTTGAAAGCTAATTATACAACAGCATACAAAAAGAAAACATCAGAGTATTATTACAGTATCTCTCTATATATAATATGTGCAAAATTCAATATACAAGCTTCTTGTTACTCATCTGTGGGCTTTCTTCAAAATAATGTAAACCTTAACTTATTTAAACCAGTATAAGTAGTTTGATGTTACTCCTGGGAAACAAAGATTGTCGGTACAAGAACCTCCATAGCTTGGAGGACAAGCTGAACATGGGACTCCTACTTTATATGGTGCTTCTCCAATCCAGTTTCCCCTGAAAACAAAAAAGAAAAAGAATGCTTAGTAATTTCAGAGTGGAAGAAAAAAATTCATTAAACATACTTGTTTTGAGTGACTAAAGTTCACATCCATTGATATCCTATAAATTGTCTGTTACTAAAAACACACTATTAATTTATTTCTGTATTTTACTGAGAAGCAAACCAAAAAACAGCAGGAGAATGACCATGTCACCCAAGGCCAGTGACATCCATGCCATGTCCTTTCATCTCTGTGAAGTCCTAGACTTTTTGCTTTTGCTACAGCCAAGCAATTTTTGATTCTCTGATCCTGGGGCAAGAGTACTTTTTACTGGAGGGCTATATTTATGAAAAATTAGCAAAATAAGCATTGGTGCAAGGTTTTCCTTGAGCACCTTTTTGTCTAGCAGTTATCTTAAAAGCTTGTACTTGGAAGACAGAAAAACAAACTAGTTAAATCTTACTCTTAGGTTGCACTACCCTAGGTCCACACTGTGAAGCTCTGATGCTGAATTCATCATTCAAGAAAAGGGAAGATAAAAACTATTTGCACCAGTAATGTATTAAAAAGAACTGAATTTGGGTATTTCCAAGGGTCTCATAGATGCTAATGAAAGGAGAAGGACTCCTGTTTGGTGAACAGAGCTGCATAGCATACCCTAGGATGAAAGGGGTAAAAAGTCTGGAGAGTGATGATATGAAAAGAGGTAACTCTGAAACATCCATGAACATCTGAAAAACGCATCCAGACTTTAAGGAGTTTATATAAACCACAAGCTTTTAGAAATTCATCTAACACTCATGATTGTAGGCAGAAAGTTAAAATTAGATTTTTATTTAAATGTTATGTCTCACAGAGCAGAGAACTTTCCTTTAGTTTGCATGTGACGTGTAATAGCAGTGAGTAATGCAATTATTTATGAAACATTTTGTCAGCCCTCACCTCCTAGCCAATAACACTGGATCAAAAGCCCTGGTCTGGGCTGTGCCTTGGAAGAAAATAGGAATCTCAAATAATTTGCTCATTCCTACTTCTCTTCCAAATGGGTACAGCAGATTAAGTGCTCAGGAAATATATTTACCTTGATAACAGATATGGAAATCTAGAAAGAATTTGCTGAAAACTGATTTCTGCTTCATTTTCTATGCAACACACGGCTGATTTGTGTCAGACTGTTAGATAAACTGGGGCAGGGCCTTTGTAAACTTTGCAATTATCCTGCTTAACTTTATTTTTCTCCCCCTCATTTCAGAAGCACAAATATTTTTAAGTGTTACAGCATGGCATCAGTGAAAATTACTTGAGTTCTAAATCCTAAATCTTTGCCAAATTCCAATCTTAGTAACTCAAGTTGGGGCTGTAATATTCACTCCATTATTCTGTAGAGGAGTTTCTGATGTGCTGGTTACTCGGACACAGACTACCAACTGGCAAAGAGACCTATGTGTGTGTGACCAAGGACTCTAAGCCCAACGTCCTTAACTCAACCTAATTAAATCTTAGAAATACAAACTTAATCCCGGCAAGACTACTCAATATAATTTTTGTGACTTTGCAAGAAGTAGATGTGAAAATAATTATTCCACTACTTATGAATTAAAGGTCTATTCACAATCTCACTCCGAGAAAAAACTCATAACTCCAGGCTTTGGTTTGGTGTTTCAGAAGCAGTGGGATTTTTAGACTTGCAAAATACAAAATTTCACAATTCATTGGTAACTGATACACAACAATACATCAGCTTTCAATAATACCTAATGCATAAAACCATTTTCTTCTTATATATGAAAATGAGAGAAGTATTCTACCAAGTTTGCAATTTTTAATATTTTTTTCAAATAATATTTGGGTTTTTCTTGTAAACTTTGATTTCACCCTGTCCATACTGCAGAACTAGAAGTCAGATATAGTTTTGCTGCCTAATCTTTGCTCCCTCACACTCATTTCTTACCATCCTTTTCTAGTAAATATTAAAAAGAAAAGGACAGAGAAATCTCCTTGATTTCTAAAGCTGGTTTTTTCCCCAAGTAAGTTTTCTTACTAAATCCTATCTTGCAAAATCTTTAAAAATTCTTTTACTCATATAACAGCTAGAATAATGACATATTCTTGCATAGTCTTTACCACAAATGGACCTGTGCCACCAAGTTTATGGAAAACATGCTCAATTAATTATACTTAGATTCCTACACAGAACTATGTCTTTGCCTAATATACAGTCAGAGAAACCAGTCACTTAACACTGTCCATGCTACTTTTGAAATAGTGGTCCAAACCAGACCGCAAATCAAACATGTCTCAGAGCTATACTTTACTGACTCATTCTGCACCCAGAGTAAGCTTGGGATGACGTCTAGGAAATGCTGGGAGAAAATTAATTTCTTTATTTCAACCTAACACCAACCTCTGCAAGCTACTGGATATAGGGCCACCTGTGTGTATCTATGACCTGTACTTTAACAGACCCTAATATGGAAGGCAAGATGAGATGGATTTGTAGACATGGGCCTTAGGTTGATGGACTTTATGTGGAACCAATGTTAAGGATGCTATTCATGCAGCATGGTCATATGCAAAGGTATCCTGTGGACAACAACAAGTACCATCACTGTTCATGAATCATAGAATGGTTTGGGTTGGAAGTGACTTTAAAGATCATCTAGTTCCAATCCCACTGCCACAGGCAGGGAACCCTTCACTAAACCAGGTTGATCAGAGTCCCATCTTGAACAGCTCCAGCGATGGGGAGCCCACAACCTCTCTGGGCAACCTGTTCCAGTGCCTCACCACCCTTATAGTAAAGAATTTCTTCCTAATGCCTAACCTAAACCTGTCCTCCTTCAGCTTAAGGGCATTTCCTCTTGTCCTATCACTACATGCCCTACTGATAAGTCTCTCTTCAGACTTCTTGCAAGCCCCATTCAGGTACTGGAAGACTGATACAAGGTCTCCCTGGAGCTTTCTCTTCTTCAGGCTGAACAGCCCCAATTCTCTCAGCCTGTCTTCATAAGAGAGGTGTTCCAGCCCTGTGATCAACTTAGGGGTTTTCCTGTGGACCTGCCCTAACAGATCCACATTTTTATTGTGCTGAGGACCCCAGACCTGGATGCAGCACTCCAAGTGGAGAACAGAGCAGAGGGGAGAATCACCTCCCTTGACCTGCTGGTCATGCCTCTTTTGATGCAGCCCAGGGTATGGTTGGCCTTCTGGGCTGCAAGCATGTCTTGCTGAGTCATATTGAGCTTTTCATCCACAAACACCCACAAGTCCTTCTCCTCAGGGGTGCTCTCAATTCACTCACTACTCAGCCTGTATTTGTGCTTGGGATTGCCTCGACCCAGGTGCATCTGGCCTTACTGAATTTCATGAGGTTCGCACAGGCCCACCTCTCGGTAAATCAAATGCTTGATATACAGAGGAATTACTTCCCTGAGGAAGTCTAATTCATATGTGCATATATATAAAAGAGTGAAGAAATAGGGAATTCAAAGTAAAGTGGAGTCAGGCAAAGAAGGAAGACAAAGTTTTTATAATAATATAAACAGCAACAACAGAAAACAAGGTTTTGGTTTTGTTTCGTACACATCAAGTTGATTCCTTTTCTTTCCTGTAAACGAAGTCATACATTTCTGTATGTTCAGATGAAAAGTTTGAATAAAGGAACAGCCCGAATCAAAGGCACAAATAGAGGTCATGCTGCAGAAAAAGGATTAAGCAGTCCAATGAGAGGAACAAAACATGCACAAACTATAAAAATAATCAAAAATAAAAGAAAGTAACTCACTTTGGGGCATAGTTGCATACCAAGTAAACAGCTCGTCGCCAAACAGATCCCCAGACGTTCATATTGTGGCACGTGTGGATTGCGCAGCCTATACGATTGGAAGTGGCCCAAACCATCTGAATAAATATTTATTATTGGTGAAGTCCAAATTGAAAAGAAATATACATATATATATATATATACACATTTATTTGAGAGAGGGACGTATAGATACATCATGGAAAAATTCAGCTTTGGACAGTATATTTTGAATAGAGGAAAGTAATTTATACAACCTGTGTGTAATGGGTGCACATGGGTCCATAACATCGCATGGGGCATCTGGGATTGCAATCTTGAGGATAAGGGAAAGCATAATCCTTCACCTCATCGTACCATGGCTTTACCAGCTGGAGAATAGATCGATACCTGTGTTTGTTTAAAATACAGAAAGAGTAACACTAGGGGCACAGTATTAAGCAATAATATTCTTAAGCCAAATGAAAATAGATGGATGTAGACTATAGAAGAGCAGATGACACTAGCATCAGTCCAAAATCTGGATCTCAAAGGTTGTTCAAAGGTTGGCAAAATAATTGTTTTGTAGGGTATCCTTTTACCTTCCAGTTCTTACAGACAGGTTCTGGCCCAAGAATCTCAGTAGGTAGGAAGGTCCATGGTCCCAAATGCATGTAGCAGCCCAAGCCTCTGCAGATTTGGCAAGCGTTTCATCCCAGACCTAACAAAATAAAATATCCTTAGCAGTAGAACAGAAAAAAACAAATACCAATCATAATACTAGAACACAAGAAACAAGTATCTTAACTCACAAATATACTATTGTAACACATCAGATCTGGAAAGATGTGAGGTAGCATGTACAGTATCCAGCAGGATTTGCCCTATTGCTGGACAGAATTCCTGCCCACATCATTAGAGGAAGCCAAGTATTCAGATCTCTCCCTTTTTTTTCTGGAAAAGCCCTTCACCTACAGACATTCTCCTACCATTTTCCCTCCTGTGTTGATGAGATCCATGTGTGGAGAGGAGTGAAATATTGGCTGAGACTCAGACAGAAAGTGAAGGAGAGGAACATGGGGAAGAACAATTCAGCATAGGTATTACACAGCCCACAAAAACACCAAAAATTTTGAAATAGGACCTCAGGAGTGCCTATAGCCAGAGTGAATGTGTGTGGCAGCTCTTCATATTTGAGGTCACAAGGTCAATAAAAGGGTTTACACAAAGGCAAAGACTATGAATAGTTTCCAGGTGCAGTATGAGTTTCATTACTTTATTCTGCACAGGAGCTGACATTGTTCACTGCCCGGACTAAAAGGATAACAGCTCTGTAAGAAGAGACAATTTCAATTCTTAAGTTCTGCAATGTTTGGAACATGACAAATGAACTTAAACACTATCTGCTTTATATACCTTGCCTGCTCAATTACATGCCTGATTTGTAACTGCTGCTTTCTCTGCAGCAAAATAGCAAAACAAGCTTGCCTCAGCAATAATGGAGACACCGACAATATAACCTACTGGAGCTCCAGATAAAGACTATCTCACTGCTATGTTATAAGTGCACACAAATCCTGGTATATCTTAGTGCTTAAGGGATACCCAAGTAGGCTGTAGATTCTGGAATTAGATGTATATTTTGAATACCCTGTGTGGAGTGTTTAGGTGCAGGATAGTTGTAGTGACTTGTAGATATAAAGGCAGGAACAGAATGTGGTAAAATTGCCCACGCAGCCCATCACAGCTCTTTAAAGACAAACGCAAACTCAAACTCATAAATCTCAAGTGGCTGTGAAATAGAGGTATGAAATAACAAGCAAAGTCAAAAATAAACTTATCAAAGCATAAGGTGGCCCATGTCACAAATATTTTCTGAATTACATGCTAATAATGATTTCTAACACTTAATTCAGTTTTAATTTCACTAACCTGCAGAGTGAAAAGGCTAACCATTGACTAGGACAGTAATTCGTGCCCTGACTCTGGTAGTTTGAGAAATTTCTCTTAGTGAGAAGGACAAAATTTAGTAAATTTTATGAAATTGCCAGACTACTGAACCAAGCTTTTGTGAATGTGGAGTGGGTGAGGTACTTCCAAGATTGAAGATGAAGAAGTGCAACAGAGACCAATAAGAACCCTTAACACAAATCATCCTCCATTCAAGTGGAACCACCTTAGGGACAGAAAGATAGGTGATACTTAACACAGAGAAGATCTATTTTACACCTGTTCAGAAAAGCTCCCAGAACAAAGTCAAAGCATGCCAGTATGAGGACGAAAGAGAGACGAAGCATGCTATGAAGGAATGGTTTTCAAGCCAAAGAACACTTAGACTTCAGCTCTGAAAAATTAATGGAGTTTCTTGGAGGAGTTAGAGATAAGTGTATAACTAGGGAAGATAAGGCTAAGCTAGGGTGCATGAGGGTGCAAGAGAGGGGACACAGGACTGATATGGCACCATCCAAAACTCAGGATAGTCTCCAGGGCCCAACGTGAAGAAAGCAGTGCATAGATATTTCTTCTGCTTTGAATCTCTGCCATTTAGTTAACTAGCTGCATGTGGCCAGTGTACAAAAAAACCTTTATAATCCCTGTGGTACAGCAGTGGTCCCAAAAAGAGGGCTTAAAGAGCAGGTACAAGCATAAAAGTCTGCCAGGGGAGTGGGCTGAAAGGCTGGGGCCACAGTCAGCATTTAGAGCCTGCCCAGGCCCAGGGGAGCAGAGGAGCACATGGATCCAGCATGTGGGTCCAAACACAGCTGCCTGGTGTGTATCCATAAGGGGCTGCTCCGCCAGGACTGTGACACCCTATAAACACCCTCCTTTGCTGGGATTAATCATGCTTCTGGCATGAGTGCTCCTGCCAGGAGGCTGAACATGAGGTTTGCATGCTTGCTCCCAAGTGACCTGGCTGCACTCCCGCAATAATCTAAATGTGTACTGTATTTGCACAAACAGTGCCGAGATCCTGATTTCCACACAGCATATTTTTGTGTACTAAATTGCCTTGCAAAATAGCATACTAGGTGTTTGAAAGAAATGTGAAGACTGGATTAGGTTTTCACTATTAAAAACCTCTCAAATGAGGCACAGCCCCTGCCTTGGACATTGAGAGTATTTCTAGTTCACTTTCACTTCTTCTCAGCTTCATTTTCTGGTTATCAGGAATCATCTGAAGCATTTGATTGGTAAAGTTTCAGAGTGTTCTTTCAAACTCAGTTAAAATGTCATGGGTTTGTCATGTATAGTACACTCTGCTTTCTGTTATCTTTTTACTCTTGACCACTTTCTGGACAGAATAAATTTTCGGCAAACATAAAAAAATAGAGACAAAGAGAAAGAAAATAACTACTGGCTAAGAAATAAAGGGCAGGTGAGCATATGCAGCATTAAATTAAATTTCCTCTATTTCTTCATTAGCAGGCTGATGAAAAGCCTTTGTACAGTGTCCCCTACTGCTATGTAAATCATTTGTATTTCAATGAAGAAGTCGAAGTGGTTCACCTTCCTTATTTTATTATATTTTACATTCCTAGAAGAAAAGGTGGACTAGCTCTAGATTAACAACAGAAGAAGAGAAGGCATTAGAGAGACTTTATAGGGTCTTTCAGTACCTGAAGTGAGCCTGCAAGAAAGATGGAGAGAGACTTTTTGCACTGGGATGAAGTGATAGGACAAGGGGGAATGGCTCTAAGCTGAAAGTGGGAAGGTTTAGATTAGATATTGGGAAGAAGTTATTTACTGAGAGGATGGTGAGACACTGAAATAGGTTGCTGAGAGAAATTGTTGATGCCCCATCTCTGGAAGCGTTCAAGGCCGGGTTGGATGGGACTCTGATTAATCTGGTACTAAGATGTCTCTGCACATGGCAGGCGTAGATGATCTTTAAGGTCCTGTATAACCCAAATGATCCTATGATTCTATAAAAATGCAAGCAACTAATATAAGCTGAAGTAGAAAAACTTATCTCATAATGACCTAAAGTCTTATAAATTGTCAGAGAATGTGCCATTAGTTCAGCCCTCTCAAAAGAAGTCTAATCTTGAGTCCACACTTGTAATAATTTGTGTCTCAGTTCAGTCCCCTGTTTTGGGCATGCAAGAGAACAGGGCAAAGACATTTAGATTTTTGAACCCACGAGGCTTCGTTATTGTACATAGATAAATAGCACATAAAGAAATACAAAAATACTCTAAAAAGAGAAACTGAAGTAACTAGAAAGCAAGAGGGAAAGTTTTTGTATGAGGAGAAATTAAAAAGTTCAAGGTAATTAGCAAAGATTAAAAAAAACCCAAAGTGATAAACAAAACTATAAACTCTGAAATTATGGACAATCCAGTGTTCCTATTAAACACATCAGAGAAAGCTGCTTGACATGAACACAAAATTGTAAAAGGGAAAAAGGAGAGACTTCCATACTCAGTGGGTCTGAGAAGGTGACTCATCCTTAAATGCTGATCATGCAAACTCCCACTGCCAAACTATGCTTATTCTCTCCCTGGAGATAGCAAATCTTCATTTGCCAGGTTGTAAGTAGTTGGGGAAGAAATCACCTTCCTTCCATACAGTATAAAGATCTGCTCAAAGCTCCATATCACTGATTTGGTCCATCATGGAAACCCTCCCACTCCTCAACTGGGTCTAACTGAGCTGCAACAGAGTTAAAGTGTGTCACCACACTTCCACTGGCAACTTGAAATTAACATCCTTTGGCCAATTTATTTTTCTTTCTTGAGCCAAAGACTAATTTCCTAGAAAGCTTTCTGACTGTACTCTCTGCACTGCTCCCTGCAAAACAACACTTTAAAACTACACATCACCTGAAAATTCTCAAGAGGACTGAACACAAGGAACAAGACAGTGCTTCTACACAGGGTATTTCAACACCAGAGACCACTTTGTGAGGCAGCTCTGGGTTGTTCTCTGCACTCACACAGCACATGCATCTTGAGAGTTAGGAATAAAATCTTAGCATTAATATAGTCAGCAGGAATTTTGCCAGCAAGCCAGAATTTCATCCAAGTTTTTGTTTGTTTGTTTTTTTATTTCCCCTATATAAACAAATAGTAAAATATTTAATCCATAGAGTGTGTAATAAGCAATAGAGTGTACAACAAAATCTCCTTCTTGTTGAATGAAATTTCTTGAAGCCCAAAAAGTGAACTTCCTTCCCCAAGAGAAGCCTTTTAATTTTGTGGGTCACAGTTGCCTCGTACCCTCCCTTTTTATAGCTGTTTCTATAGCTGTCTCTCACTCATTCTTAGATCATTTATATGTAGAAGGATGAAGTTGCCCTTTTGTTCTTTGTTGGAATAGCTTTGTTGGAACAGGAGGTGCTGGTCACAACTATGCTCTTAGGTATTAAAATAATGATGAAGCTGAATAAACAATCTGATGATGAAAAAGAAACCACTACAATATTGCAAAGATCTGTCCACAACATTTGTTGAAAAATAATTGGCTGTTTCTTTCCTACACTAATGGCTATGTTTTAATTTGAGGAATTGTGTACATCACCATTACTAACTATAACTTGAACGGTTCTGCTCATTTTCATTGTAGGCAGAATTGTACTCCAAATATCAATCATTTAAATGCAGTAGCTTTCTCTTGACACTCTGTTCAACACATAGCTTGGGAGGCAAACATAATCACTTGTTCTTACTGTAAACTTTCTAAAGGACTGATGTATTATTAAAAATATGCTGGATACATTTG